TATGCCTGATTCAGGTCATGGTCTTTCCAGTCATTTGCTATGCATCTGAGAGCTGAGAGCTCAACAGTGAAAAAGGATAAGAGAACCATTTATGCCTTTGAGTTGTGGTTTGAAGAAGAGTACTGAATATCCCATAAGACTGTCAAAAGAACAAACAGATATATCTTGAAGAGGTGCTGACAGAGGACTTCTTGGAGGCAAGGATGTCAAAGTTTATCTCATATACTTTGGGCATGTTGCTAAGAAAGGTTATTCCTTGGAGAAGGATATAATGATTGGAAAGGTGGAAAGAAGGAGAGGACCTTCAAATAGGTGGACTGGCTATTGGGACTGTACCAATGGGCTCAAGTGTGTGAGACATTGTGAGGATGGCATAGCATAGGTTAGGGTACAGATCGGTTGTTTGCAGGGTTACTATGAGTCAGACTTGTCTCAATAGCACCTAATAACAAGAAGAATGACAAGAAAAGTCACTGTTACCCTTGTCTTCATCCCAGCACATATATACCACAGTTTAGGAAGGATGGCTTTATGTGATCAATATAAATTACCTTTGATCTAGAATTTTAAAACTTCTTGTTGTTAGGTGCCATTGAGTTCCTTGGAACTCATAGTAACCCAATGTACAAGAGCCCTGAATACTGCCCTATCCTGTGCCAACCTCACCGTCTCTGACACACTCATTCCCACCACCGCAATCACAGAATCCATCCATCTCATCGAAGGTCTTCCTGTCCTGTGCCATCCCTCCACTTTCCCAAACATGATGTCCCTCTTCAAGGACCAGTCCCTCCTTTCAACATGCCCAAAGTATGTCAGGTGAAGCTTCAGAATCCTTGACTTCAAGGAGTATTCTGGCTTCATCCTCTCCAGGACAAACCTGTTTCTTTTCCTAGCAGTCCATGGTATATTCAAGACTCTTCTCCAGCACTACAGCTCAAAGGCATCAATTCTCTTTCTATCATCCCTAGTCACTGTCCAACTCTCTGAAGCATAGTATGTAACTGCAAAGACTATAGCCTGGATCAGGTGCACCTTAGTCTCCAGCCTGACGTCCTTGCTCTTCAGTACTCTTGAGCGGTCCCTCACAGCTGACTTTCCCAATGCAATTTGTCTCTTGATTTCCTGGCTGCTGTACCAAGAGCGATGACTGTGGAGCCAAGCAAACAAAAACTGTTAACTATCTCAATCTCCTCATCATCCATATTAATGCTCCCAATTGGCCCAGTGGTGAGAATCTTTGTTTTCTTGATATTGAGCTTCAATCCATATTAAAGGCTGCAGTCACTGACCATCTGTAGCAGGTGCTTCAGGTGCTCCTCAGTTTCATCAAGCAGGGTTGTGTCAT